CAAAACTGAGAAGTTCGCCACTTGTACTTACTCTTTTGACATTACGAAATGTGATAATTTTTTTGATTTGTTAGTTAAAGATAGTCAGATCCTAGTACCTCTTGGTTTAAAAACTCATCCTTTGGAACAAAGGAAGAATAGAGTTTTCTGCAAATATCATAATTTCTTGGGTCATAAGACTTCTCAATGTATTCTTTTCTGGGACTTGGTTCAAAAGGCTTTGAACGATGGAAGATTACAATTTGGCGAGAAGCCAAAATTAACAACGAAGGTGGACTTAGACCCTGTGCAGATGGAGGAAGCCCACTACGCCAAACCTATAGAGATCTTGATGGTGGACACTATTGATGAATCCAACATGGAGGTCGACAAAGGAGAGCAGATATCTGCTATTGTTGACTCTGACTACCGAAAATTTTACCCCCATTATGAAGAGGGGTTAATTGATTTCTTATAGTGTTGCAAGCTCAACGACTGTAAGACCATGTTGTGCCCACGTTGTAGTGCAGTGTTTGACAAAGAGGCCGCGAAGAATGTGGAGAGCTCTCGTCGTACCAATTCTTATCGCGGACGTGAGGGAGGCATAATTGCTAGGTTCGTCCCTAATAATGGGGTCAGATCTCGTAGGAATGAGGACTACAAGAGGCAGTTCCAACAGCCTCGACATTACACCTTCAAGCCACCTGCAGGTGCACCAAAAGACAAGTGGGTGAAACCCATCAACCAAAAGGGGGAAAGCCACCCAAAGTGGAAAGAGGTCGATCCTAAGCCCGGAATGCCAAACGACGGAGTCCAAAAAATGGCGAAGGGAAAATCACATGTGCCTCCAACCTATAATGAGAAGAATCCTATGACGCGCACCCAATGGAGGCGCTATCAAAGGAAGAAAGAAGCTTAAAGGGAAGCTCGGGCCAATGAGCATGGTGCGCCAGCAGCGAAGCGCAATGCGACTTCAGCCAAACCCGGTCTGAAGCATCATTCCAAAAGAGAAACCAATGGGAGAGAACACAATTTATTCCAAATATGTCGCAAGACCGCCTATCACCAAAGGAGGACTCATAGTTAGAGAAAAAAACCCCTGATTATTTTCCTCAGTCAAAAGATAAGGTTGCAGATTATACTCCTCAGCCATAGGAATGAGAACCCTATCACCAGGATCATGAGTACTCTGCAGAGACGGAGAATGCTTATGTACCTTTTCAATATCCTCGACCGGACCACAAGGAGCCTGAGTACACTCCTGGATCAGATGATGAGATGGTCGAAGATAATTTCAGCGAAAAGACTGAAGGCGGCCTTCAGATTAACTGTAGAATAGTGCCAGTATTATCAACATAATTAATTCGCGCGCACCGGTTCATGGTACTTTTGTGAATTGGTTCATCCAAATTCGCACAAAACTCGTTAAAAAAGGAGTACCAGCAAACCATTATTAAATAATTAGAATTAAATTATTCAATAAATTAGAAAATAAATTAGAATTAAAAATGTATTAACTATTGTTTTATTTTTGAACCAAATCGTTTCATCTTTTATGACTTTTATTGATTGAATTAAGTTACTATTATTAAAATGGAAATGAAATCATTTTATGACTTTCCATTATACTATACGTGAATGTCTTTTCCATTATTCAAAACTGAATCTGGTCTTTGTCTAATGGTTTAATTACTAAATTTATTTATTTTACTTAATTATCAAGAAAAGTGACATTGGACAGTAAAATCACTTTATGACTTTTATTTTACCAACGTTTCATGTCATAGTTATTATTTATTTAAATCTATTAATTGGTCCTTTGTCTGCACATCACACTTCTTTTGAACTTTTCCCTTTTAACTCCTAGTTACTATGGTGTTAAAGACTCCTCTAAATTTAACGTTAAAGAAAGGGAGAGAATTGAAAATTAAAAAATTCAAAATCAAAGTATAGAACGTTTCGTCGTAACCCAAGACATTCTATGCCTCGGTAAGAATGAAATGTTCTAGGGAAAACGCATCATCGCCACCTCTCTCAAACAGCCTAGACTTTATGCCCTCATACGTAATATGAATAATATTCTGACAAATCGGTAACACATCAATGGCATGGTCATCTATGGCCTGTTCATTCTCCAAGATCTCCTTATAAGCAGGCATATGTGGCATCCAGGAGCGTCTGATGTCATGATAGGGTGTGAGACCCTACAAAACCAAGTCATGCAATTTTCAGCATAAGACCATTAACTTGTGGTTGACATACTCCGATACTCCTCTAGTATCAGATGACTCTCGTAGTCCTCCAGTATGTCTTCAAGATGTCTGCGAATTATGTTGTTAGGAGCAGACACAGATGAGAATCTTTGAATGATCTGCACATATCCAATTTGAGCATGCATCGCTCCGGCAGATACATGCACATCAAATTTGCCCCACATGCCAACCATCCAGAATAAAATGGAATGAATTCGAAGGGAACATTGTCCTGGTGAGTGTTGTATGGTGTCCAGTCGATGTCATCGTGCTGAGTCTGACCAATATACACACAGAACGGTCATACAACATCATTCCTTATGTGCAGGCAATATAGGCAACCACGTGGCTAATCCTCAATATACTTTAGCACATGATCAAACCCGTGGATGCGGTTAAAGTGAGATATGATTCATCCCTGAAAATGAATAAGAAAAAAGTATTAGTAACAAGTGTAAAAAAAGGATTTTAATATTAATATTGGCTATGGAAATGACTGTCAACAAGGAGCAGGAGCTTGTCATTTGTTTTATCGTCCAAAGAGAACATTCGCTCAGCTTGGAATATATGTATATAAAAGAGCCCCTCCCCCCCCCCCCCCCCCCCCAGTTCCACTCGTGAATGGCCAACAAGTCGATGAAATACTTAAGGTATGTCACATCAATATCGATGTAGGTTGCAACTTTTTCCATAAAAATGGATGTGCCAACCAAGAATAGTAGAAAACACCTCAAAACATACTCCATTTGGTAGGTAACCTATAGCTCATCACCGTTGAAATTCTCGGCCAACTCCAAGTTTTCTCTATAAAGCTTCTCCAAGTAAGAAAATTTTGCATGTGCACCTCTGGTGCTCTCAGACTGCATCATGGCATCTATTGGTTTAGCTCCGAAATAAATGACCATCATCTCATGTGTTTCATCACGTTTGTTCCTAGAATGATCAAGTAAACCCCCCCCCCCCTAATAGAAAGGTGTAAAAGGAAAGCAACATCATCCAAAGTGATTGTCATCTTGCCAATGGGGAAGTGGAAAGATGATGTTTCCTTATGTCATCTCTCAACAAAAGCCCTATGCATGACATGGCTAATGGTCTTGTACCTAGAACAACACATGCCTGCAAGACCAGAGTACTGAAAGAAACTCTAGAACCAATGATCCTTAGGCTGATAAAGCTTCAGAATCTTTATGATATGGTTAACATACTTCAAACAGTCGCGCTCCTGTTAAAACATTAAAAAAAAAATATCAGTCGCAGGAAAAGTGTTTAAAATATATAAATAACAATCGTTAATAAAAATAATCTCTAGTCCATACATGCCTAACAACATAATTTATGTAGTATATCAGTAAGGAGGTGTCATAGGGCCCTCCAGAAAAATGGTCTACAAGTGGAGAAACATCATCATGTGCAGCAGTAGAAGCTTCCTCCCGGTCTATGTAAACATGGAAGATATGCCCCTGGGATGAGGACCCCTATGACAGACAGCTTCTAGAAGTCGATGCTTCACCTTCATGAGGCATAGGGACAGTTCCCCGCCTAACTCTCGCCTACTCACTCTGAACCCTAGCCATCTCACATCGAACAAACGGGTGTTGGGTCTCACGATCGAGTCTCAATCAGTTGTCGTTGTTTGCAGTCATTTCTCTTGAAACAATACAAGAAAAAGACATCAAATTGCATTCAGGACAGTTTTGGATATGCATCTCTGAAAACCAGTAAGGATGAAATTCAGAGATACATTTTTGAAAAAGCTCATGCCTGCAACAATGGCAAAAATTGATATAAGTCTTGCCCTAACAACCAAAAACGCAACCAAAACCATAGTGCACGTCTCTAAAAGCTATATATTACAAATTTGACTATTACCTAATGCAAATATAACACATTATTTTATCTATTACATTAATCAGAACTCAAAATAAATTAAATGAGAAGATTACTCAAAAAAGTGTTAAGGATGAATGAGTAGAGTTAGTTGGGATTGAAATGCTTGAAGTAAAAGTAATGTTTATCCTTAAAGAAGCTTGAAAATTGACTATATGTATTTTGCTCAAGAGCTCCAATGGTATCTCAAAAAATGAAGAAGGAGAAGATGAGGGTTTTACGCGCGTTATATATACATTAAACACGTACGGAGATGCATCTCCAAATTTTTCTTTGAATTTGAAATTAAGGGTTAATTTAGAGATTCATCTCCGAACAAATCCTAAAAAAAATACGAAGATGCATCTCCGAATTAAATTTTAGAAACGTGACGGTACGTTCGGAAATGCATATCTAAAAAGTGTAGGCATTTTTTATTTTTTGTCAAGGGTCTAGGAAAGCATATAAAGGTGGGAAAATAATCTCTTTTATTTAGTGTTGTTATTTGCTTCTTTTTTTTTAGTTTAAAAGGGCCAAAGCCCATGTTATTTCCTACTTAATCTCTAAGTTAATTTAGATTTAATTTATTTATTCTCATAGAACAAGTTACCATAGAGAGTAATTTAGAAAATACAATTTTTTATATTATTACTTTTGGTATTTAAATAAGACTAACTAGTTTTCCTTAAGAATGCAAAAGTAGTTTACTTTTGCATAAATATGTAATTGGAGAGAGTGATATGTTTTCCTTTACTTTTATCTTAAAACCTAGATCAGATCCCAATTGAGTATATAAAAAGAAAGTTACAAAAAGGGAGAGATGAGACCAAAATCTACCATGGATTAACAAAAACAAAAGTATGGATATCTAAAGTGTTGGATTTCAGTAGTCACACTATATAATCAATCTTTACTGACATTAGAAAAATAAACTTGTTTTTCTTTACAAAGAGGTACTAGTTCATATTTTGGTCCTCCATACCTTTGGACTGGACAAACATTTTCAAACAAAGATTCTAAGCCAATACAAACCTTCAACGTAAAAGAATCAACCTTTAGTGTTCTATAAAATCGGGCCGTAAAAACAAAATTTCTTACATCTCCAGAACCTTCTAAATGGTCCAAATCAAGAAAAGAATGCTGCACTGAACCATCATCCAAACTCATCTTCAACCACAACTTACACTTGCTTATAATATTATGGAGTGTGATTCCACATGGTACACCAACTGGTAATCCTGAAACAAAGGGAAACGGATGTAGAGAGTCGTTATTGGAAATGCTTAGTTCTGCCTTTAATTGTCTGATTGTTCCATGAAACACGAACTTCTTCAGGGAGAAGAGCTTGAGACACTTATCAAACTGAAGTGGACTGCAGAAAGCTCCATTGATGGAGGCGGTTTGACATTCATGTAATAACTTACCAAGCTCAACTACAAAATTGGATGGCAAAACTGGTCTTTCTTTAAGGATAGATTCAACGCATGAATATATAGAAGTCAACCTCTTGAATGTAAGATTGACACAAATGGTTTCAACTTTACATAGCCTGAGGGCATAAGTCACTAATATAAGCTCCAAGATATTCAATTCTTCTTCCGCGGAAAAGCCTACAAACTTACTCATCAATTCTTTAATCCTCCTATCAAGCTTTCCCAATTTGAGTTCCAATTCTCCCAGACCATGAGAGCACGAACCTTTTGCTGGTAACAAGTGCTCCCACACTTCTACAAGTAGTTTTATTATCCGGAGATACAGCAAAGTAAATGCCAAAGCATCACAAGACTCCGAAGAGTCAAATTTCAGAGATGCCAATTCCTCCTTCAAACATCTGCAACATTAATGAAGGGAAAAAAAAAGAGCCAATATTAGATCATATATGCTGGTTAAGTAACCAAAAGACCAGTTTATAAGCTTTCGGGACATCTTAAATTTCAAGTCCACTAAAACCAAATATAGACACTAAATAACAGGAATCCAAGTATCTTATATGCAATGCACACAAATATACATCTATGACGCAAAAAATTTCTACTGTAAGCAAATTACAGACATCTGATGCAATAGTTAGAAAATAATAAATATTGGATGAAACAAATGGAAGTAAATGCCAAGATACAAATGATACTGGAAAAATACTACAATTTATTACCTCAAAGACCTTAACACTTCATTAGTAAGACCAGTCTCTATCATCTGCCACATATCAGGGAACTTTGCAAGGATGTAGTTTACGTATACTGTAACTTCACTATACTCTGATTGATGTTGTTCTACCTGATAGTGTGTTAGCTCCTTTTGTTCTTTCATGATTTGTGATTCAATTTCGGAATCAATCACCTCATTGCTAGCACAGTTTGGAGTATTGCCTTCAATTAAAGATAACTGTTGCTCCCCATCCCTGTGGTTAATATCTGGGACAGAATCACTTGGAGGTCTGCTTTTCTCACATAGGTATGCCAAAAGGGTATCCTTATCCATTATATCACTAAAAGCATGACAAATTCTACCCAGCAAAGTAACTGCATAAGAAAACAATACTGATGGTATAATGCCTAAATATTCATTAAATATCGGAGCAGATATACAAATGATAAATGACAAAAAATAGGTTATACCTCTCGGTTATTATACTAAACCGACGTAAATACTAGCCTTTCCACTCAGTTATTAACAAAATCCAAAAGGTATGTGGCGCATGGTACATAGTTTTGTAAATAAAAATTTTATTGAGTTGTGGTGGAGTTTCGAGCCAAACATCGCCCGTTTTCGCCTGCGACGTTGTCAAGAATCCAGCATTGGCGAATTATAGGTTCTGTGACAAGTCTTTGGGAGTGAATGCAAGGGTGAAAGACCTGAGGTTGACATTGCAGGAGAAAGTTGGTAACCTAGTGAATTCTGCTGTTAATGTGAGCAGACTTGGGATTCCAAAATACGAATGGTGGTCTGAAGCCCTTCGTGGAGTTTCTTGCGTCGGTCCAGGAACGCATTTTTCAAAAAGGGAAATTTAGAAAAAGGTTATAATATAATATCGAGATAGATATATGTTTGACGTGCTAGCAGCATTTGGAAGAAGAATAACAAACCACAATTATTGGATTCAAAAGTATATTGCTAACTGATACATTGCATGTTATGGGAGAATAAATTACATATGCTTAGAAACCAAAAGCTATAGGACACAAATGCCTGCTGCTAACTGCTAAGATAAACTTTGACCTTACAAACAAGGTTTTGAACAATCTACATTAAAGGATATTGGTTATGGTTATCCTTTGTTAATTCACAGATTGGTAAAATAGAAAATATAAAACATTATTCAAGTTTATAATTAGAAAATTAGGAACTCAATAAGAAACTGTATGTAAGTTTTTCCTATCTTCATTCGATACAAAATTTCTTAATCTCAACACTTGATACTTCCCAATAGATACAAAGTTGCAGGAACATTTATCAATGACATGGTTGATTGTTGCACACTATATAGAACACTAGCTAACTACAGAAGGAATCTAATCCAGCACAGCTAGTTTCTGATACTCAGGGCCAGTGATGGCAGCTTCCATGGCTTCTACGGGGCTTATATCACCTTAATTATTCAAGAACAATGTCAGCAGATTCTTAGAAAATCCACTCACCAGGGCCAGTCCTTTCTGAGTGGATGGCACCGGGGTCGCCTTCGAGTCTCTCAGATTCCAAAAAACTATCTGAGGCACAGCAGAACCATACCCTTTCTCTTTATACTTCCTAGTGATTGCTTGGTAATCTATCTCCCAAGAGTTTGCAGAAGCTTGATCAAACTCCATGTCACTGAATACACATATCAGATGAGTTTGATGCACAGAACCTGACATTAACTTGATGTTTTGACAGGTTTTGCAACAACTCTATAACATGCCGATGATATCTTTGGTTTTGGCCAACCAGATCTTGTTAGGTGCAGGTTTCGTTTCAATGCTTATCACAGAAATGCCGTTTAAGGGATGCTCTCCGGATAAAGTTAGTTTTCTCTTGATTCCATTCATTTCACAATATTCCTTGAATTCATCTGATGTGAATTCACCTCCACAATCCGTTCTTAGACACTTAATGGACAAACCCGTTTCTTTTTCTATAAGAACTTTAAATAGCTTAAAGATAGTGAATGCATCTGACTTATAAGCAAGAAAATACACCCACGCCTTCCTACTATAGTCATCAATGAAAGGAATGAAATACCTCTTGTTTCCCTCCGAAATTACAGAAATCGGACCACAGATATCAACATGAACTAGCTCCAATTTTTCCGATGCTCTCCATGTACTTTTCCTTGATAAACTTTTTTCACTCATATGTCATAACACACATCACAGACTCTACTAAAAACTTTTTTTTGTTATACACTTTTCTTCTAATATGATACATATAATTCAGTAACCGACTCAAAAATTTGTGTTTTCTAGTTCTCTAAGTCACAATGGCCTCTGCAGGTACTAATGTATCTGGTTGCTTATGTTTCTTAATTATGTTTGCTTCAATTTTGTTGAGTTGTGGTGGAGTTTCGAGCCAAACATCGCCCGTTTTCGCCTGCGACGTTGTCAAGAATCCAGCATTGGCGAATTATAGGTTCTGTGACAAGTCTTTGGGAGTGAATGCAAGGGTGAAAGACCTGAGGTTGACATTGCAGGAGAAAGTTGGTAACCTAGTGAATTCTGCTGTTAATGTGAGCAGACTTGGGATTCCGAAATACGAATGGTGGTCTGAAGCCCTTCATGGAGTTTCTTACGTCAGTCCAGGAACGCATTTTTCAAAAAGGGAAATTTAGAAAAAGGTTATAATATAATATCGAGATAGATATATGTTTGACGTGCTAGCAGCATTTGGAAGAAGAATAACAAACCACAGTTATTGGATTCAAAAGTATATTGCTAACTGATACATTGCATGTTAGGGATTCACGTATAATTAGTCAAGAATGGTAGAAACTAAATTATCTTCAAATTCAAATCCCTAATTTTACAATTTACAACACAAAGCAATAATCTGAAAAAAGAAAGATTACCGGATACCGATGAAGAGAAGGGTGACGGTGGTGAGCTGATGAAGGGCTGAGTTCGACCGAGAATGGGTTTTCTTTGTTCTTTCTTTCCCGGGTTGGTGAGCTGATGAAGGGCTGAGTTCGTCGGAGAATCGGTTTTCTTTGTTATTTCTTTCCCGGGTTTCCTCTTTCTATTCGAGTGGTGAATCCAAGGTGAATCTGAATCGACTGTGTTTCCTCTTTCCGGTGGTGAATCCATGAATGAAGGAAGGAGATGGCGTGAGTAAATCAGAGGAAGAAGATGAATGAGTGAATACGTGTTTTGAAGGAAGGCTAGGTCAATGGTGTGAGTAAATCAGAGGAAGAAGATGAGTGAGTGGAAGAACGTATTTTGTTTTTTTGGTAGTAGCAAAAGTTTTGTACGCCAAAATGCAAAATATCAATCTGGAAAACACTTTGATTTTTTAATTAATTTTATTATTTATTAGCACTTCGTGTCGGTTTGTCGCATTTTTTATTGCCTTTAACGCGTGAAAATATTAACTAACGTATTTTTTTATAAGTTTGATTTTAATATTAACTATTTATATTAATTTTAGTATAAATTATTTTGTCTCATTTATTATTATTATTATTATTAGCGTTCAAACGGGCATTCTCACGCCTATTTGTCTGCTTTTTATAATGTGCACAAGTGTCAAAATACGAACTAATATTTTTTATTTAATTTAAATTTAAATTTAATTTTTTTTGTAATATAAACTTTGTAATATGCACTCATCTCTCTCTTTCATCCCCCGTCTCTCTCTTATAATTTGATGAAAGTGTTTAGAGAGAATTTTGTAGAATAAATTGAACAACACGTATATCTCATGCGAATATGTATGATCCACACACGACTCTTCTCGTGCTTGCCCGTTTTTTTAACGAGCATACACGTCAAAAAATAAACGAATATTTTTTTTATTTAAGTAATGATTTAAATTTAAATTATTTGAACACTAAATTTTCTGATATGTATCCTTATGTTTGTAAGAAATTTTAAAATGTTATTTATTTAATTAATTAAAAGTTAAATTATTTTTCAAATTAAATTTGTAAATAATATGAAATTTATTGTGATCTCTGTTTAACATCAAAAATAAAAATCGTAAATAAAAAATTAACAACAAAATTCAATTAATTTAAGAAAGTGACTGGTCAGTGTTTCCATTTTTCAATAATTCACAATAATTATTTTTAATATTTTTTTTATTTATTCATATACATATTAAATTTTATTTGCAATATGTAATATTCATGCATTAAATTTTATTTGAATTCAGAAACTCGGCTATGTTCAAACCGATTTTTTTAACCAAATCAATAATGTGAGTGGAATAATTTGGTGGTTACGAATCCCGTATTATGGAAAAAGAAAATAAATTACATCAAAATTAAGTTTTGCATTTATGTATTGTTATAATCTAGTGTCCACTTTTTAAAAATTATAAACATTATTTTTTTCTTCAATTTTAAGTATTTATATGATAAAACATGTAATATACATTTATATTTTGTTTAATAAATATTTATAAAATTGAGGAGCTAGATAGAAGAATGTTTTTTTTTCTTCTTTAAAGAATTTTGCACCTTTTTATTTGTACAACACGCATCATTTCATTTTACATGATCGACAAACAATAAAGTTGTAAATATAAAGAAATATCAATCCTATGTATTTTAACTTTTCTCGAACAAAAATCATCATTTTATATATTTATTCCAAAGAAATGTGTTTTGAAGAAAAATTCCACAAAAAATAACAATAAAATCTAGATAAAAAAAATAATGAGTTGAATGAATTTTCTTACCAAATAATTCTACATCTTTCTTTTGACTTCACCCAATTGAATCTCTCCGTGTATTTTTCGATTTTACCGTGTTACATGAGATAAATATTAAATAAGAGAAAATAAAATTACATAAAATTAAATTTAAATTAGGGCAAAATTAGAAAAACTTTGACTGTTACAAAGTTACCAAAGATCAATATAGTAGTTTCCAATGTCCTCTTCTCCACGATTTGTTTTATAGTCCTTCTCTTTTTTCTCATCTCTCGTTTTTACATTTTATTTGTTCTTGATAAATGTTTATTGATGATTAGGTTAAATGAGAGAGAAATTAAATATCTATAATTTCTTTATTTTAATTCTATTTTTTTATTGGGTTAAATAGAAATTGGAAGTTAATTATTTTGACACAACCATATAACCATTTTTGCTATTCTATACATTTTTCATGACCTATTGTTATTGCAAGTTTTTTTAAAAATAATTAAGACAAAAAAAAAACAAATTAGAATGTGAGATGGTAGCAGTTTTTTTACTATCCATCCAATTGGTTATTATGAAGAGTGTAAAGTGGAATAAAATTATTATTTTATGGCTAAAATTAGAAGAAAAACAGGCTACACCAAAACAATGTATTGCTTTTATATATTGTTATAAATTATAGATTATAGATATAAATAAATAAAAAATTTATATTAAAAAATTCATTATATTAAAAACTGAAAGAAAAAAATTAAGATATTGAGTAAAAATAATCTTTAATAGTCCATATTAATTTATCGCCAACGGTCCAACCTTTTTAAAGATAAATAAAATTTATGTTACAAAATTAAACTTGTAAAACACTAAGTAAACAATAGATTGTTATATTAAAATTTCAAATAAATAAAATACAAATACAAAACAGCACTACAACGTACTTAAAAGAAAAAATTCGGAACATTTCAATACAAAACATGGTTACAAACCACCAGTAATCTATTTATATAATTTAACATCACCAGCCACATGTTTGCATGTTTGTTAATCTGATCAAGTGTGTCTTGATAGAAGAAGTGTCCTGACCCTTCAATTACATCTACTTCCTCAAGAAGTGACAATCTCAGCAAACTCTACTTCTACATCACCAAACTCCTATAATATTACAATTGATAGAAACAACCACAAACAATAACTTTTTATAACACATAGTAGTCATTAGCATACACAACTCTAAGGATATCAAGGTCGCTTTCTTTAAAATTTATTATAAATATATAAATAAGAAGCTTATCCAAATTCCTATATGGTGAGTAAGAAGATGATCATTAACTTCATGTACAACAACAGTATACGGGACATAAGATTGAAGTAATTAAAAACTCCATGTATTTGTTTAAGAAAAAAGGAGTAATTAGTAATAGAAAAGCTTAGAGTAAAATGTCTTTTTGGAGGGTTGGGTCCTCCTTGGATCACCTAGCTTTGTATGGTGTGTTTTTTGAATTAATATATTCTTCTTTGATTAAAAAAAAAGCTTAGAGTAAAATAGTAATGACTTTTAAAAATTATTTGGCATAAGAAAAGACAATAATAATTTGAACGTTGGAATCTAATATATGTGTTTGAACGATAAACCTGAACAATATGTTTGCCATGAAGAAGAATATTATTTATTCTACTAAAACTCATAATAGGCATGGCCACATTAAACTTGGCTATATAATCCACATGTGTTGATTCAGGATTATGACCATATCCTTAATGCACATCATATATTGAGTTCCTCCATGCATAAGCAAGTAAAACAGGCATGCATAAAGGTGATGGTTATAAAATGTATATAAATCATCTTTGGATAGCCTTTTTCTAATCTCTTTTGTACTTTACTTAAATTTCTAGAATATTGAAGCACATTGAAACTAAAAATAAAAATTAAGTTAAAATAGAGGAAGAAGCAATTACCATATTGTGAGGGGATGCTTTCCTTCATTTTTCTTCACCAAATGAATGATGGTAGAAAGCATCATAAATTTTAAAATAGATATTAATGTGTCATATTTGTCATCAAATTTTGATCAAAAGATTCATACACTTCGAAGCATGCAGTTTATTATTCATTAGAAATATATAAATGGATTTAACTCATGGATATTAAATTTTAAAGATTAAAATCAAAACTATACAGTAAATCACTAATTATATTTCAATAGACATTTCATTAAAAAAGCGATATATGAATAAACTTCAAAAACAGAAAAAATTATTATTCATTAATTTAGTGATTCAATTGTGTCAACCACATATGTATAATACAAAATTCACTATCATTTTTGGTAATGACTATTTATTCCAAGTACATGTTATGCGGTGTTACTGTATTATAAACACACCCATTTGAATCTTTTCATCAATTGAAAAAAAAAAAAAACCATAGATAAGCAAACACTAACAACCAACACAAGTCCACCTTTTCACCTTATTTCTATGAAATGATTCTAAAAATTGTGTGGCACCAACAAAAACACAAAAAAAGAATAAAAATTAATTAGAAGAATAAATTTCAAGTTTTAATTAGAAAAATAATAAAAAAAACATTATCATTAGAATTAAGAATCACTTAAATTTAAAAGAGATCAAAGAGTAAATGAAAACTTACAAAACATCGAATTTTCTGAAATAATAGATAATAGATTCACCAAAGTTTCTAAATGAACAATTTCTCTTGGCAATTGCTTAACCAATTTGGTAACTTCTCTTCTCTTTTATGTTAAAGAAAGGTCTACAAATTGTAGAAAGTAGTTTTTTTTTAATTTAGTGAGTCATACTTAGTTATTAGGATAGTTTGAGAGGAAGTTAGTGACTAAAAACCAACTTATAGTAGTTAGAAAAAAAGAAGAAAAAACTTACCCAAAGGTTCATTTAGAAATAAAAGAAATAGGCTACACCAAAACAATGTATTACCTTTATATATTGTTATAGATAATAGGCAAAAAAAACTATGCTATTTGAAATAGTTATCTTTGAAATTCAAAATTACCTCTTTTGACGATGGAATGCTAGTGTAATAAGACCAGAGAATATAAGCATCAATTAGTTTCAATCTTGATGTTGCTCTCTAATACAAAAACAACATAGAAGCAAACATTGGAACTTCCATAGGACTTCTAATACAAACAATAACAAAAAAAACAATTTATTAACCACCCACAAACCATAAATTATGAAGAATCGTTGGATGAAACATTAAATGAATATGTTTTTTTTACTCTCTATAAATTTGTATTTATGTTATGCATCACACCTTGAGAAGTTTTTCTATAAAAAAAAAAAAAAAAGAAAAGAAAAATACCAACTCTAGTAGTTATGGAGTTACCACAATTCAAAATAACTACCATCATTTAATAAAAACTTTATATATAGTTATAGATAGATTATCTAATTTTAATTT